GCCTGCTGTGGGTGACCCTGCTTGGGCAGGGGGTTGGGCTGGGTGACCCCCAGAGGTCCCTTCCAACCCCTACTGTTCTGTGATTCTGTGAAGTACTGGTGTCATCACAGCTGAGGAAGAAGCAAGAGAATGGACGGTCAAGGTCTGAGTGCGAGCACTGGCCAGGAACATCTGCTGTAGGACTGCACCTTCTTGGCCAGTTTCTTTGATTTACGCTTCGTTGTTCAGTTCAGACTCAAACGTTTGTTTTGGATGTATTTCCAAGGGCTTGGATGTATTTCCAAGGGCTTGGGTGCGTTTCAGAGTGCTTTTGGGAGAAATGCATTTGGAGGAACGGCGCGAGGAGCCACGCGGCGCTGGGGAAGCGGCCGGTCACCGCGTTGATGCGGGGCAGCAGGTACAGAGGGTGTGATGAGGCTTCCCATCAAACCTGTGTGGAGGATAGCTGCTCGCTGCCTTCAGCTCTGGTGGTTGTGGGGCCAGAAGTAATGAGAGATCCATAGCGTTGAAGATCTTTGTTAGTGCTGATTTGAAGATCTGGTAGGAGAAACCCAACAGCACAACGTACACTGCTCAGCAGGGATTCTTTATTGCGGTGCCGGGCACACGGGGGATTTCTCCTCCAAACGTGCACGCCAGACATCCCGTTACTTCAGGTTAAATACAGTCACACGTGTAAATATTCATTCTATTTCTAAGAATTATTTAGCATATGTACATATCTTTCACGCATGTCTGTTGGTATCTTTGGGTGGTCTTCAGGGGTCCGAAGATGAAGGCCCATCCTCTTCATCACGCTGTTCACTGATTGACATTTGTCTCCGCGCAGACTCAGCTCTAGGATCCCGTACATCATGTCCTTCAGGTCGCTTGGCTCTGGTCTCGTTGCCCTCTTGGTGCCTCGTTATCTCTGGAGCTTGGTGCATTTGCCCTCCCAAGGCCGAGCTGCCTGGAGCAGAATTATTGAGGAGTCTCTTTTATCCCACAATTATCCCAATTATTTGCTGAGAACCAAGACCGCTTTTGTTTCACTTAATTATTTTGTCTAACGACGAAGTGATAGCTTGTGCCCGTGTCCTTCCACTACGTTCGTTAACGAGAAAGCAGGGATTAGTGTAGAGCTACATCGTTAGATCACTGTGCATGCAGGAATACAAGTTACAGTACTAAAGACTACTAAAAACTAGAAAATATTAAGCTTGTTTTAGTTTCACGTTTCTTAGGATCCCCTCTATCGGTGCTTTAAGAGGTTTTGCTACTGCTTAGCGTGAGTCTGGTGTGGAATAACTATTCTGAAGTCTGCTTTGGAAAATCCCAGTGTTTCCACCTGCAAAATGGAATGCGAATCTTCAGCTGAGCTGCAGCGCACGGCAGTGCCTCGGGATGGACCTTGTGTCGAGTCCTTTATGTGGCTGAAATGGATTGGTTTGGTGGCTTCTCTCTGCCTGGGTAAACTGGGGGCTTCAGCAGAGCACAGAGAATTGAATGGTTTGTCCTGCTTGTTGGACTGAAAAAACCAGTTAAATTTCAATTTGCAACTAAACTTGATTTCTCAACTAAAATCAGCGTAATAAGCTCTTCGTCTTCCGGGAGTTTAGTGTTGTGGCTTTCTTTACTGTTAGTAGAGAACACAAAAATTTGAGTTAACCCTGAAATAAATGTGGAGTATGATAAACTGACGCTAGGGCAATTCTGAACACTTGATTTATTTGTTTGCTCAGATGCAGCTGAAGAAGAAAAGATGGAAACCGAGACAGATGGGCAGCAGTCTGAGAAGGTAAGCGTGGCTCGGTGCGCTCGTTCTGAAAAGATGGTCCTGGCTCTGAGGAACCTGAATTACTACGTTCTAAAAAGCCTGATAAGAAAGGTAGACAGTAGTGTGCTGTCCAGCACGCGTGTCCGTAGGGAAGAGTTTTCAGTCTCTGGAGTTACATCATGTTCCTATGAGGCATTTAGTCTCAAGTCACGGAGAGATGCTTCTTTGACTGGGCAAACGGGAATGAGATGTTGGTGTGTTGTTTTCTACTCCAGAAACAAAGGTTGGGACTGGGAGGGAAATGTAAAATAGGCAATATCAAACTTAATTATAGAGACATAAGCTGTGGAATCACAGAATCACAGAATGTTGGGGTTGGCAGGGCCCTCTGTGGGTCACCCAGCCCAACCCCCTGCCCAAGCAGGGTCACCCACAGCAGGCTGCACAGCACCGCGGCCAGGCGGGGCTTGAATATCTCCAGAGAAGGAGACTCCCCAGCCCCTCTGGGCAGCCTGGGCCAGGGCTCCGTCACCCTCAGAGGGAAGAAGTTCTTCCTCGGGTTCAGCTGGAGCTTCCTCGGCTTCAGTTTGTGCCCGTTGCCCCTTGTCCTGTCACTGGGCACCACTGGAAAGAGTCTGGCCCCGGCCTCCTGACCCCCACCCTGCAGATATTTAGAGGCATTTCTAAGGTCCCCTCGCAGCCTTCTCTTCTCCAGGCTGAACAAGCCCAGCTCCCTCAGCCTCTCCTTGTAGGAGAGATGCTCCAGTCCCCTCCTCACCCTCGCAGCCCTCCGCTGGACTCTCTCCAGTAGCTCCTCATCTTTCTTGAACACGCTGCTGGCTCATGGTCACCCTGTCGTCCCCCAGCACTCCCAGTCCCTCTCCGCAGAGCTGCTCTCCAGCAGCTCAGCCCCAGCCTGGACTGGTGCCTGGGGTTGTTCCTCCCCAGGCGCAGCACCCTGGGCTCGCGCTTAGGTAGATGTAAGCGTAGAAGACTTGGTCAGAGCTTGAGAAGATGCGTTATTCTGTAGAGCAGAGTAAATGAGAAACGCCC